TCCATATTTAGACTTTTTTTTTTCCTCAAGCCTATCATATGCACTTTGCCTCTAGCAACTGACAATATTGGTTTTACATGCATGCATGAAGGACAGCTAAAATTTGGCAAGAATGTACAAGTGAGCTTTTAAATCTTTTCCAGTTGGAAGTGGATAACTTCAAACTACTTCCCTAGTTTGCTTTAAATCATGCATGTGTGTGGCTTGGACATGACATAACTAAACAAGCCTGATGTATACCTTCTATTAATATGCATGGCTAGTCTGAAGTCTGCCTCCTCTCCCTGAGTTTGTTATCATGACACACACTATGGCACCAACGTCTTGTAAGATGTTCTTCCCTAATTTATACTTGTCTCATCTTTCCAGAGAGGTGAAAAACAATCGTGAGGATAAATGTGAAATTATACATTCAAGAAAACATACTCCTTTTTAAGATTTATTTATTTTATTTTAGAGAGAGAGAGCACGAGTGGGAGGAGGGGTAGAGGGAGAGAAGCAGACTCCTGCTGAGCGCGGAGACGGATGCAGGGCTCGATCTCACGACCCTGAGACCATGACCTGAGCCAAAATCAAGAGTTAGATGCTCCACTGAATGAACCGCCCAGGCTCCCCCAAGAAAACATAGTCTTAAGTAAAATTGGGGAATGGGCCAAATTTGACTAAAACCCACTCAGTAATATTTTTGTGCTTCAGCTACTCTTTCAACACCTAGTTTCTTCCATTTCCCAGAATCCTCACAACTTTATTTAGTCAAGAGTTCACAACTGCAGTGCCTTGTTTGAGATGCTTTTCTTTCAGTATTACTTAAGTTTAAAAGTCTTTCTTGCTACTGCTTTTGCAAATCTGACCTTTTCCCTCCAACCAGATTTCAAATTACCTTACAGCATAGACAGAGAACAGCAGTCTGATGAACTCCTTTGCAATATTACATGAAAAATGCTAACATGTCCATTAGCTCATACTGTTTCACCTCCTCTTCTCCCTGAAATCTTCCAATTTCCTCTAACCCTCCCTGGCTCCACTAAAAGGTCTTTAATGGTAATTGTAATTCTCTCTTCTCCTTGAAATCTCCTCTGACCCCCAGCACGCAGACAGCTCTTACTCCCTTCTATATTTCATTTTATCACAGCTTTAATTAGATGGTGCCATCAACTTTACCGTGAGCTCTCTTCTCTTTTACATCATTCTATTCTCCTTAAACATAACAAATTAAGTTGTACATTCATAGAAGACCGAAGTAATGGTAACTGGAGACAGCATCAGAAATGGAAGATAGAAGATCTAATTTTTCTCTGCCAATTTCTGACTGTGTGACCCTGAACATTGTTATCTTTGCAAAATGGCTATCACATTCCTTGAAAAATAAGGATAACAAGAACTATCTCTTAGGGGTATAGTGAGTAGCTAAACAAGCTACTACATACAATTTGCTTAGTCTACAACTTACCGGGTACCCCGTGCAGTAAGTGTTAACCAACCCCCATGCATCCTTTTATTCTCAGTACCTGGCTCTCTGCTTTATTTTCAGCAATTGGTAACTGTTTTTGGATTTATGTTGCTGCAGTCATGAATTTCTCCTACCCCTTATCCTTCCCTAAGAACTTGTTTATTTTCCAAAAATAGCCTGATTCTCAGCAAGTTTTATAAGGAAAACACGTGATGTTACTTTGAGGGGCTGCTTCAGGCACCACACAGTTTCAGAAGCAGGCTGGAGGAGGACACTGTATGGATCCTGCCCTCCAAGGTAGAAATCTAACCACTAACAGTTATTTTGGAATGTGAAGGCTAAAGAAATAACTGTGTAATTGAAATTGACAGCATGCTGTAAACTTGCCCTTTCAATAATAAAATAATTAGAATGACCATAAGATCTGAAGGAGCAGTTCCAAGAATGAGCCAGTGGAGGCACACACAAGACGCAGGTGGACTCCTCTCTTACCCCTTCATGCTGGGTCGGGAATGAGCAGTAAGACTTGTTTAGTTGTGCTTTGGGAGGTTTTTCTACAAGGTACCCCTAGAGGGCGCGATAACTCTCTTCCTCTTGTGTTCTCAGCTACCCGCCAGAGGCACAGGTAAAGTTGAAGTTCTATGCAACGGCCGAACTCAAGTGGTTTAAAATTTAGTGGCAAAGAATTTAGAGCGATTATCAACTGATTAGCCTCACTGCCTAATACTTATAAAGTGCCTACTATGTGTATCCATTTTTCTGTTGGCACAATTTTGCAATTAGACATGATGTACGTTAAATGGACTTCCATTCTTCAGTTGTCAAAAGCTGACCTTTGTACTCTTAAGTCAACTGGAAGAGTAACTTAAAAATGTTATTTTACTTAAAAGAGGTGTGCTTTGTCTCGCTCATAAAATAATGTTAAAAATTGTATCCCTATTTGGTTACTACACCTTTTTAAATTTTAATTTTAATGCAGAGTGTCCTAATTTTCTGGGATGAATTCAGTTTTCATATGACTGCTTTACATATAGATTAAAGATTGCATCTTATTTTTTAAACTCAGACACTCATTAGAAATATAGATGTTCCTTTAATCATTGAATATGTATACTTACTATAACGAATATAATAACAACTTGAGGAAATGTCCTTTCTAAATCTGTTTTATTATTTATTTTAAAAAGAATACTGATACAGCTCTAATATATAGTTTTTTTAAAGAATAAAATAAGACCATTTATGTGAAGCATTTAGCACAATGCCTGTCACAAGCAAGCACTCAATAAATTCCAGCTAACAGACAAAAAATTTTGTGGCACAATCTTCTAAAACCTATAACAACATAGGGCACCTGATTCTCATTATTCTAATCTTTTGGGTGTTACTTATTGATTACATATTGTATAGGTCTAGTATACACATTAGGATTGATCTGAGAAACAGTTAAGAGTGGTTGCTGTTAGGAAAACACACATGCACACACATCCACACACACAAATTTCCCCTAACCAATTTGTTTTATGTCAGTGAATTACATGGAACTAGGAAATTGTATAGAATTTATTGCATTTTAGTGATACCAGTACCAATCCGTTTATGTACAACTCTTTAAATTTTTGAGCAAAATATTTTTTTATCCAGGCAATTTTGTTATTGAATCCAGAGTGCTTACTTGTACAAAGAAAGATCAAATCATTATGATTAAGATTGGTATCTTCCCCATGTTCTGTCTCAAATTTCTCCTTCCTTTGACAGAATCAAAACTGTCCCTGAGACATTGTTGGTATCCTATAAAGATAATTGCAGTCAATACCTTATGTGCATCCCCTTCACTCAGAGAATAAAGGGTATTGGACTCAAGTTAAAAGGGACACTCTTTGAAGCATTTCAATAGCTTCCTCAGGTGGAGCATCTTCTTCAGGATGTGACAGTGTACGGATTGGGCAGTGACTCAGAGATTTGATTTTAAGTGCTGGAGATCTCCACGACCAAATAAATCCTGCCTCATCTAACTGATTGTTTGGAACCCCACTTTACCAAACTCTTTCCTTTTCTTTGCAAGTTTTGGTATGTGTGAGGAATATAACTTTATGTGTCTTCAGGCATTTGAAACTTAACACAAATAAAGAACCTGATGACTTATCAGGAAATGAGTAAGGCAGGCCAGTTGAAGGCACTGGTGCTCTGACAGAAGGACAGAGTAAAACAGTTCATCAAAAAGGCTCAAAACTCAAAGCTGACATTGTGAGGACATAATACCAGTATCTTTCAAGTTTTGCCAAAAAATTCGTGGGTGAATGGGTGAGCTGCATTTCTGGTTTCTAATTGTATCTGTCAAATGTTGTGCCCTGGATGATGACAGTCTGGGGTCTTCCCTTATCTTCACTCTGTACCCTCGTTTTAGCTTTCAATGTACACGTACACATCCCTAGACACATAGTGCATGCGGCACTGTTCTCTGTGGGTGTTTACTGCAGGCTTACGTGATTTGTGGCTTTGGTGGCCTGATTTGGGTTTTGCCCTTGAGATAAACTCCAGTTCTGATGTGTGTATAGTAAATGAAGCATATGAATGGCATAATTGGTACACAGTGGATCATGCGGTAACCCCAGATTACATGGATACCTCAACAGTAGGCTGACTTAGGAACGGCACGTTGCACTTGGCCTCTGGTAACCTCCCCAAGTCTTCCCTTCTAGGTAAGATGCTTAGGGTTGGGGGTTGTCCCAGTTCCTGATGGTAGATTTTGTTCCAAGCAAATGTAATACACTTACATAATAAAAACTATGTGCTACACCTGAAATAAAAGTTATTATCCTGCAGATGATCTTTGTCAGTTTTCTCCCCCTCCCATGGATATTGCTCTATCAAAGCAAAGAGAGGCTCTGAAAGGTGTGAGAATATCCATGTCATCTACTGAGTACAAAAGTGCCCTTTGTCAGTAGGATGAGTAGATAACACAGAACCTTGCCCCACTTAAGCTTAACACAGTAAGTGACTTACGGAGGATACTTCAAAAATGTACGTCAAAACGTTAACCTGACCTGAGATGAGGAGATTGTCTTTAGGACCAAGGAAAGAATATTTGAGAGGCAAAGACCAAAATAACTAAGTCCAGGTACCAGAGAAATTCTGGTATCCTGAAAGTGAGGAGTGCATTCTGCTTATCTTGGCTTCACAGAGACTCTGATGAAGAGAGGCAGGGGTTCCTCTTTTTTTTTTTTTTTAAGATTTTATTTATTTATTTGATAGAGAGAGAGCACACAAGCAGGCAGAGGGAGAAGCAGGCTCCCTGTTGTGCAGAGAGCCGGGCCCGATCCCAGGACCCTGAGATCATGACCTGAGCCGAAGGCAGACGCTTAACCAACTGAGCCACCCAGGCGCCCCAGGCAGGGGTTCTTGTAAAGCATTTTGCTTCCTGAGAAGCTGGCTGTTTTCCGCAGGGCTGGAGTGAACAATATCCTGGTTTGCCCAGGGTTGGGGGAGTTGTTGAGTCACAGGACTTTCAGTATTAAAACTGGGGAAGTCCCAGGCACACTGGAATGAGCTGTTCACCGTCCAAGGCCATGACAGCCTGCTCTGATTAAAGTGAGCACCAGGAGGAATTCAGCAAGAAGTTGCTCTCATGGATTGGTGCCACACTCCCATCATCTCCAGCAGTTAGCCCCACTGCTCCAGTTCTTCCAATAACAGGTTCCTAGCCCAGGGAATATGTTATTTCATCTCCTAAGGTCCTTATACTTTTCAGTGTCACCTGGAAATACACATAAATATTACATAAGTCCCAAAGTAAAACTAAGGTTGAACTGGAGGACTTTCATTTTCCCAATGTATTTACTCTTGGTCACTGACTACAGACGTTTTGAGTTAAAGTGCACATTGCCAGGGGAAGAAAAAGGGCAGATGTTTAATTCTTTGCAGGATTTATAATATTATATAGGGACTATTTTATATCCCACTACAATAAACTGAGCTGGGTTTATGGGTTTATTACAAGCTAAACAACAACAACAAAAAATCGTAAGTTGGACAGTAATTACCTTGAATAGACATTTATTTTATCCTTTTGCTAGCAAAACAATTGTAATGCTATGGTCCAGGAGAACACATTCTTAAATTCTATGTCTGAGGTTGCTTTGCCAAACTAACGCTAAGTAGATGGTAAAATGTGGTCTTGTGGCTTCTGTCCTATAAAGGACTTGGAAAATAGAGCTAACATGAGTCTAGTGCTCACATTTGTCATCATGTATGTTTGTAAGCTACCAAACAACCGAGTTTGGTTGGCCATTTCTTTTATGCATGAGCCCATCACTGCTTTCAATCTTTCTATCTGCCCATTTTTTTCTCAAAATTCTAAGGTACACATTCTAAGGTAGACAACAAATAGCTTGCTACAATTTTCTAGCTAGTATTTGAAAGGGCAGCATAGAAGGTCAAACTTCCAGACCGTATCCAGGTCCCACGCAGGAGGCAGAACATTTCCTGAGGTCTGATCACTCTTCTGAAAGGCCTATGACACCATGTTCTCCCAATAAAGAGCAGCTCACTCATTCTTTTGTCTCCTGCCACTGCTTAGTGATACCATTAGAATGTCAGGCTTCCCTTTATAAATCATGTATCCCAACAGCACTAGATGGTTCATCAATTACTCTTTCCATAGACAATAGGATGCCCCCTTGAAGGCCCTACCCGCAGTTATAATGACACCTCCACAAACTCTAATCCCTATCGAAAGACTCTGGGTCCAATTCAGTAGCATTTGGTACATTTTGTCGAACACCCTTTATCTTCATGTATCAGAGAACAACAGTAAGGAGAAAAGAAACATGCAAGGGCTCCACTAAATGATTTTGTTAATAAACTCAACTGTGGTTAAATTCAAGATACATGTGTCTTAGAAGGAGGTATTGAAAGCACCCCAAACACACACACACACACACACACACTCACTCACACACACACACACAGTGACACAGGCTGAATTTTCTCCAGGATTTTCCTTTTTGTCATACATACCAAGTTTTCCTTACCAGGAGTAGTACAAGCTTTCAGGAAAATCTAAAAACACTGTTTTAGCACTCCACTGTAAATTTTCAGTTTTTTGTTTAGAAACAGTTTAACTTTGTCCAGTACTAATGCATTGCTTGCAGATGCTTGCCAGCAGGCTTGGTATATCAGGGTAATTGTCTTGTCCCTGAATGAACCTAGCCAATGGCGTTGAGAAATGGGATAAAGACCTGTTTTCTGGGTTTGTGATATCATATTAGATATTTTCTGTTTACATTTTTTATGGTATGAAAGATTCTAATTTTTCCGGATTTTATCCATATCTATACATTTTCAATGGTTTCTTTAGTAATATAATTTTATTTTTCTAAAGTAAAACATCTAATAATTCTAGTGAAATAATTTAGCCAAGAAGCCACCATTTATCAGTAAGCAAGCTCTCCTGCTCACCCATTCATTCAGTTGTCTCCTAACCTCCCCTTGGACTGGGATACAAATATTCAGTGTTAATTTTTTTCCTACTAGAGGCTTGATGGTATGTGAAGTTTAAGGAAGCGGTCAGTACTGAATGGGATCAAATAAAGTAGTAGTTAAGGTATTTGGACCTAAGAGATAAGAAGGTATCTCTACTCCCAGAAACAGATTGAAAGTAAAAGTAAATTTGACCTGAAAGGAATATGCATATCATACATATCATATGTACAAAGCATATATGACCAAGCACTGAGAGTCGGCAATCAGGTCCAGCTCTCCACCTCATGGATAGTTGGTAAAACAGTGACATAATTTACCGTTGTTTATGTTGAAATAAATTTGGTATCAAATAAGACTGATTTCAGATATCTCACCAAACACACACACACATGTGTATATATATATGTGTGTGTGTGTGTCTTTGGATGAAAGATAGAGAAATAATAGAGAAAAAAACCCTATCACAACATTAATGCCACGATCACTTGTTATTCCCTTCGGTGTTATTGAGGCCAAAAGATCAAACCACTTTTCTGCTGGCAATCAATGTGCATCTTATAACAAGGGGTGAATTTAATCAAGTAACCAATATTTAAAGACTTGTTATACAAATCTATGTCACCTATAGAAATTGCACAGGAGAATTCAGAGAGCTGATCTTGTATCCTTGTAAGACATGAACAAGTCTGATTACATAAAATAATAATGTTGTATAGTCCAATCTTGAAAAGGTGGTTACCTGATTCCTGTGTGTAGGTTCTGGTCCCAGAGATAAAATATATTCTCAATGTTAAAATAACAATGAGAATGATTAACAGCCTCTAGGTAGTGGTGTGGACTTCTTCCCACATACACACCCAGTGCATTCACCTTCACACTTCAAACCAGTCCAGCAAGCACAAAGAATGCATTGAGGGAAGAAGAGATAATCACTGGGAAAATAAATCCACATAGGGGGTTGGAAGCTGCCTCAGGGGAAATGGCTTATAAATACCAAGTCTTGAATGCCACCATATCTGTATCATTATGCTCTATTTCTTGTGGCCTAACCATTGGCCTGGCTATAGAGTTTGTTTATAGGATGCAGGTCATACTCTCCTAAGGTAGAAATCATCAATATCATCTGTGGAATTCTGGTGATTTCTCAAGAAGTTTGCACCCCTGTCAGAATTCTTTTGGTCTCTTTGGTTGGAAGACTTGTAAAGTGAAACTCTACCATTTAAAGTAAACCAACCCTTCTCAAAAGCCAACCCCCAAACTCATTCATATCATAAACATTTTGATATTTAAATCCTTCTGGATAGTTTATGTTCAAAATTGATTTATTTACTAAAAACAAGCAGTGGAAAATAATCCAATTAGCAAAGCCTGGGAAAATATGTTTCAAGTTGATGACTCTTCTCTTCCTCTTTCTCTCATGATGACAATTACAAATGAGCTTGGGATAAACCGAATTTATAAAAGCTTATTTTTAAGATTTTATTTATTTATTTGACAGAGAGAGACACAGCGAGAGAGGGAACACAAGCAGAGGGAGTGGGAGAGGGAGAAGCAGGCTTTCTGCGGAGCAGGGAGCCGGTGCGGGGCTCGATCCCAGGACTCTGGGATCATGACCTGAGCCAAAGGCAGACGTTTAACCAACTGAGCCACCCAGGCATCCCTATAAAAGCTTTTTTGTTTGTTTATTTGATTGCAAATGGAAAATAGTACTAGGAAAATATTTGAACTTAAGTATTATGTAGGTTTGTGATTCACCCTATAGATTTCAATAATTGATCTGGTTCCTCCAACAAACATATAGGTTGTAAATACCTTACAAGGTATTTAATGCAAAATTATTGATGGAAACATGGCACTTGGATATATATGTGTGAGTATGAGTGTGTGTTTACACACAACTTAGTTCTAATTAGAACACATCTTTAAACCTTCCAAACATATTCAGACTAGCCTTCTTCATTAACTTGGCAAAGGACTTTTAGCAGTCTTGGAATAAACACCATGATTTTTATTGCATAACAAAATTATATCACTGGAAATGCAACCAGCGATACCATGGATTGACTTAAGTATCAAAAAATATTATATTTAAAATCCTAACAAATACCTAACAAATCATTTAGCAAAATTTCACTATTTCAGCAAATGACAAGTATATATTCTACACTGAAGCCTTGTGACTATTGATAAATAAAAGGCAAATTGGTTGAGAGTTTCCTAAGAATGATTCTCAACCTGGGCAGTAATAACATTCTGCCCGGGTAATGCTTTGTTGTAGACGACTGTCATGTACATTGTAAAAGTTTAACAGCCACTCTAGTCTCTACCCACTAGATACAAGTAGTGCCCCCCCTACCCTGAGCTGTGACAATCAAAAATGTCTCTAGTTGCAAAATACCCCCTAGGGAGCAAACTCACTTGCAGTTGAGAGCCATTGGTTTAACATAATATGAACTAGAAGTGATTTTTGTTGTTTTTCTTAAATTTAGCGGTTATAATTGCATCTAAGAAAGTTTATGGGAACTGTCCTTTCAAGGTTATAGAGGTAAGCATAGATGGCATTGACTTTTTTTTCCCTTTGGGATATTGGTATCAAATTTGAGAGAGAAAATACTGGATGAGGACAGATACATAGCGGGACAACCTCCTTAAAGTAGGCTCAACACATTTTATAAGGTTGGATTGAAGGTCTCTTCATATTTAGCAAGAAATGTGAGCTGCAAATTCAAGAAGCTGGTTTTGACAGTAGATGTCATGGTACCCCCGGGGCTATTGCCTTTTTAGCCAAACAAATTTTAAGAGGCAGAATTCAGATGAGACCCAAACGGAACTAAACAGATAAACAAAAATCCTATCTTAGTTATTCATAGATTCTGAGAGATGACTTTTAGGGATATGGAGTTTAGCAGAGCATTGTAGAAGAAAAAGAAGATGCTTTGATAATTTGTACCTGCTCATCAAGAGTTAAGTGAATTGAAGGCTAAAGGAAAAGTAACTCATGCCCTCCTTGTGTTCTTGACATTTCAACTACATTTTAGGAATTACACACTATTGCAGATGAATGTGATCATCTTCCTTGTCCAATGCCCTGCAGTATTCTACATAGAATCCAGTGCTCAATAAATGTTTGATAATTATGGTCAGCAGGTGAACTTAGGTAGGAATCTCATGATTTCCCATTTGAAGAGTCCTAGGCAGGAAGCATAATGTCCATTACAGTCAAGAAAGTAGCTTTTCACTAAAGCAATGTACCACTGATATTCGCAGATAGAC